CTTTCACAGCCTGGAAGGGAGTGGGTGGAGGGTGGGGTTTGAGGGCTAACACACACACACTTAGGTATCAGAAAATTAATTCATTCACTTCCATTCTAAGCTTGCATAAACAATTCCACATACAAATAATAATAATAATAATAATAATAATAATAATAATAATAATAATAATAATAATAATAATAATAATAATAATAATAATAATAATAATAATAATAATAATAATAATAATAATAAAGTTGGAAGGGACCTTGGAGGTCATCTAGTCCAACCCCCTGCTCAGGCAGGAAACCCTATACCATTTCAGACAAATGGCTGTCCAGTCTCTTCTTAAAAACTTCCAGTGTTGGAGCATTCACTGCTTCTGGAGGCAGGTTGTTCCACTGGTTAATTGTTCTAACTGTCAGGAAGTTTCTCCTTAGTTCTAGGTTGCTTCTCTCCTTGATTAGTTTCATCCATTGCTTCTTGTCCTGCCTTCAGGCGCCTTGGAAAATAGCTTGACTCCCTCTTCTTTGTGGCAGCCCCTTAGATATTGGAATACTGCTATCATGTCCCCCCTCGTCCTTCTCTTCATTAAACTAGACGTACCCAATTCCAGCAGCCTTTCCTTATATGCTTTGGCCTCCAGTCCCCTGATCATCTACAACAATATTTCATATTTTTTCCAGGCAAACTATTTTTAAATAAGGCCTTTTTATGTGATGTTATCAGAGAGGGTTTTGACCCTCTTCCAAGTCTTGGAAATAACACAGAACAACACAGACAAACATATATACACAAATACTATTAAAACAACATTTATTTAGACATATGGCTTGTCCTGCAAGAAGCGAGAAAAATCATGAGATGATTCTAACCAAACATGTGGTTTTTCTATAGGGCCCTTTAACCATTTCCTATTTTTCTCACCATTCCAAGTCCAAGCGTAATGTTCTGTGTGATATACACATATACATAAACAAAACACACACACATCAATTTGGGGTTTGAGGTTAAAACAGGCCTCCCCTTTTTATTAAAGAGGAGGGGAACATCTATGGTTACTTCCAATTTATCCCAGCAATTTCAAAAGACAGTGGGAAAAGACTAAAAGGAATATTGAAGGTGTGAAAGGGGGAGGGGAAAGTAGCAGCCTCCTCTCCTCACCTTTGAGAAAGGGGAATTGAATAGAGCCAGATTAAAGGGGAAAGAAGAAGAAAAACTTGCTTTCAGTTCTTTGAATTTTCTTTTTCTTCCGTAGCTTTAGTTGTTATCAGATAAACTAGCCAACCGGAGGTTTACAAAGTTTTTCAATATTGTCTTGTTAAAGATTATTTGTACTTCTACATATCAATACAAAGCACCATCAGACATTGTCTGACAGGGTTAAACTTAACAGCTACTTGAAGTTTCAAAACATCCCAATTGTTCAAAACACATTGCAGAGGAATACATTTTGATTTGTTTCTTTAAATTCCTCTGACGATTCCCCATATATATTATTATTATTTTTTTCTACTTCAAGATTGTTCCTCTAATATTTTCCTTATGGGGGTGTATGATGGCCGTAAGGAGGCAAAAGAATTAGCCTCTTCAGAAGGAGCTGAAGATCCAATTAAAGATGCTTTTGGAGGCACACTTTTTACTTTGATCCTAATCAGGTGGGAGGTTTGTAGTTAATTGTTGCCCTGCTGAAGCATCTGAGCCAAATTTTTCCACTGCTTGATGGTACTGATACCATCGATGTAATACCTGTACTGGAGCCCGAGATTCAAGATGTAAAGTATGCCCTATCTTTTCCCAATCTCATAATCTAAGCGTCCAGCGCTTAGGATATCAAGGGCAATGTTTCCCTACCTCCTCCACCAGCTTCCTTATGTCTGCCTCAGGCATTTTCACGCATGATTTGTGTAACAGGAATCTGAGTTCCTGTACATGTTTCTACTGGTGCTGAGATAGATTGCAACCCATACGTACCATTGAGGGGTCCCATAGGACGAAAGTGCACTTAGAGGTCTATTCCAGACGCTGGTAAGTATGTTGGCTGTTGCTTTCCCTCGGAAGGGGGGGCTGTCCCAGTTCAGACGCCATATGTAAGACGCTAAGAAAAAGACGCATGTCTTGAGCAGAGGTTTGAAGCTGCAGGACACAGCTTGACAAGCTCTGAGTTTATTGCTTCTTATATACTTGTTACATACACCAGCTTAACCATTAAATGCTGACATTTTACATTCATAAGTTTAACCATTAGATGCTGACATAAAGTTTCTTCATTGGAAAATTCCTAGTAACACATTACATGATCAAAGACCAGGTAAAGAACAAATACAGGTAGATCAAAAGGAGAAAGAGCTAACAAAGACAGGAAGAGATAGGAAGGAACTTAAGCATATTATCTGTTTAGGTAAGTGAGGCATTAAGTCAAAAGGGGATGACCTTCTGGCTGCTTCATTGGGACAAAGGGTATCAAAAGGTTATGAGGTTTGTGGGGGGGAAAGCACGGCAGTTTGCTGTGCGTGCATTTTTCCCCACAAGCTCCCAATGTTCAAGGCTGTCCAGATTCTTCTGTATCTTAAGCCTGTCTTCTGGAGCGTTGGCTATTCTTGCCAGTTTGGTGTTGTCTGCAAATTTGATGAGTTCCCCATCTATCTCCTCATCCAGATCATTGATAAAGATATTGAAGAGCACTGGGCCCAGAACAGAGTCCTGGGGCACCCCACTACACACTTCCCTCCAGGTAGATGCAGTTCCATTGAGGACCACACACTGAGTATGGCCCAGTCAGCCAGCTACAAACCCATCTGGTGGTGATGCTGTCTAACCCACATTTTTTATCTTATCAAATAGTAGGTTGTGATCTACCTTATCAAATGCCTTACTGAACTCCAAGTAAATTATATCCATAGCATTCCTCTGATTCACTAGTTTTGTCACTTGGTCAAAGAATGCAATAAGATTTGTCTGGCATGATTTGTTGGCTTTTGGTAATGACTTTGTTTGCCTCTAGGTGTTCATTGATTCGTTGTTTGATTATCTTTTCCAAAATCTTTCCAGGTATTGAGGTCAGGCTGATAGGTCTGTAGTTTCTTGGATCCATTTTTTCCCCTTTTTTGAAGATGGGAACTACATCAACTCTTTTCCAGTCCTCTGGTAGTTCCCCAGTACTCCAGGATCTTTGAAAGATATAGTTCAGGGGTTCTGAGATCACATCTGCCAGTTCCTTGAGAACCTTGGGGTGTAATCCATCTGGTCCTGGTGATTTGAACTCGTCTAGGCTTGACAGGTGCTCACTTACCATTTTCTTGCCTATCTTGTGTTTCTAATCCGTTTTTTACGGTACTGTTTTTGATAGGTTGGACTGTTTTTCCCCTTTGTGATGGATGCAAAAAACCGAGTTAAATAGTTCTGCTTTCTCCCTGTTGCTTGTCACCTTTTTGCCACTTTCTCCCACTAATGGACCAATCATTTCCTTGACTTTTTTCTTGTTTTTTACATATTGAAAGAAGCTTTTTTTGTTATTTTTTACTTTTGTCGCAAGCCTTAGTTCATTTTGAGCCTTAGCTTTCCTCACTTCATCTTTGCAACTTCGGGCTATTTGCTGATATTTTGCCTTAGTTGTGTGCCCCTCTTTCCACTTGTTATACTTGTCCTTTTTGTCTTTCATTTTATCAGAGAGTTCTTTATTCAAACACATCTCAATTGCCTACACCCTTCTGATCTTTGTAAGTGTAGACATGTCACAGCATCTTGATATTTTTTCCAAAGATTTCATGGCTGCCCTATCCATTTCTAGACTGCAGTGCATTTCTTGATTGATAATTCCTTTATAGATTCTTAAAAGCAGAAACTGTCCACTACTTCAGTATCTTCATTGTCAGTTCTAAGACTGGTTGCTATCATAGGTTTGGTCGTCTTTATATAGCATTCCAATTTAATGCAATTATTACACTGTAGCCCCTGACTTATTACTGCAGCATGCAAATCTCTTACATTTTTGACTATCAGAGTAGTATCATCCACATAGCACAGGTTATTGTTGTTTCTTCCTCCAATTATTAAACCAGACTCATCTTCTTCCTATTCAGCTTTCCTTTTGCCAGGCTTAAATTTTGGACACTTTATATAAGATTCTGCTTTTTTAAGTCTATAAATCTGGGCAGTGCTTTTTTTCTATAAAAAAAAGGTGCCGGAACTCACACACGTCATACAACCCGCCTTGCCTACTCTACAAGGTTCCATCCAAAAAAGGTGCCGGAACTCCGTTGTGGGTGTTCTATGAGAAAAAAAAGTCCTGAATCTGGGTAAGGTCAAAGGAAAGAGAAAAAGAGGATGACCAGCAGCAAGACCAGTGTGATCAAAATCAAGACGTATGATCAATTATAGCAGCAAGTGGTCCGCCATTGGAAAACCTGAAAGACCAGGTTGGGGACAGGTCCTCCTAGAGAAGGTCAATCTAAATGATCAGCAAGAGTCAACATCAGCCTGAATGCACATAAACAAAGAAATACATTATCTGCATAAAAGCTGCCATAAACATGTTTGTTATCTCAATGAGTTATTAATATTAATAACTATTTAAGGAAGGGTATCATTATGAACAAGAGACATACATATATTCCTGCTGAATCCTGTGCAATGCATTTATATTTAATTTCAATTTAAACTCATATTTCTGTTGAATCTTGTGTAATGCATTTAAATTTAATTTAAATTTAAATACAGAGATATATCAATGCAGTAGAAAGCTTTATTTAATAGACCACATTTTAGCAGACTTTGGATACAAAAGACATAATTTCTATGTAGAAACCTCCCTAAAATAATGGACAATCCCACTATATCTAAAATAGTTCTGACAAGGCAGTTGCAAATTAATTTTACCTTAATTTTATGATTTTGTACATATGAAATAATTTGACACAAATAATGTATATTGCCATTCAATGGACAATCAACAGACCTTTATCCCCAATTAGTCTGCTAAATGGGGATTTTATTATATATTATTTCCCTTCTTCTAGGATTTTTGGGTGGATATATTAAATCCCTTTCATTACTGGTTTGATCTCTCAAGGGAAGCTAACAAGGTCTGGAAATGGTCCAATGGCACAGAGTTCAAAACTCGGTAAGTATATTTTATTTATTTGTTTGTTTATGGATTTATAGAGCTATTTACCTATTCAAAGTATTTATAGACATTACACTTCAGCTTGAATGGCTGAAAGAATACAGGTAGTCCTCAACATATGACCACAATTGAGCCCAAAATTTATGTTATTGAGAAATTTGTTAAATGAGTGTTGCCCCATTTTACAACTTTTCTTGCCGTATTTGTTAAGTAAATCAGTGCAGTTGTTAAATTAATAACATGGTGGTTAAGTGAATCTGGTTTCCCCATTGACATGACTCCTGGGCACTGCAACTGTCACAAATGTGAGTCAGTTGTCAAGCATCCGAATGTAAATCACGTGACCATGGGGATGCTACAACGGTTGTAATTGTGAAAAATGGTCATAAGTCACTTTTTTCAGTGATGTTGTAACTTTAAACGGTCATTAAATGAACTGTTGTAAGTTGAGGACTACCTGTAATAACAATTGAGATAATTTTTGACTAAGCTTCTCTCCCCCAAAAATAAGACACAGAAAGGGGAGGAAAAGAGAATAAAATGCTCAGGCACTAGTACAGTGGTTCTCAACCTTTTTAATGCCGCGACCCCAACCGGTCGTAAGTCGAGGACTAAACCGGTCGTAAGTCGAGGACTAAACTGGTTGTAAGTCGAGGACTACCCAACCGGTCGTAAGTCGAGGACTTTCCCTGCCCGGGAGCGCTGCGCATGCGTGGTTCCGCCCCCTGCGCCGGCCGAGGCGTAGCTGGCAAGCGGNAAGCGGCAGAGACGGAACAGGCTGACCACCAGCTGGCCCAGCCCAAGGGAGGTAAGGCACCCGCCGGAAAATGGGGGAAAATGGTGGACAAAAAAAATGGCAGACAAAAAAAAATGGCGGACAGCCTTGCTTGGCGACCCCCATGAAATGGTCGATCGACCCCAAATGGGGTCCCGACCCACAGGTTGAGAACCACTGCACTAGTATGTAGTGTCTGATGACTGTTGGCCAGCTTAGATGGATTGAGATGAGATGATAAACAATATCCAAGAGCAGATGCGTCTGATGCTAATATTTATATTTTTGTATGTAGGGAGGAAGACCAGACTTGATTGTAAAATTGGAGTTCGCTGTTTTTCCTAAAAGGCACTATCTATAAGGCAGGGTTCTTAAACTTGACAACTTTAAGATGTTGACATCCACACTTTTTAAAGTTGCCAAAGTTGAGAAACACTGCTTTAAAGTATTAACAAGGTAATAGTAAAATGGCAAATGTGAGTGTTTGTGTGTTAAGGATCGTACTGTATGTATGATGTATCATACTACCTCTGATCCGATTCACATTCTTAATTCAAAATGTTGACACAGCCTTCTTTGGAAAAAGAAACTTATTTGAAAAACAAATAAATCAGGGTAATTTGACAGTTGAATTGGGTGAAGGGATCTGATTTGGAGAGTTGTTCAGATGGCCTTTAAATCGAGTGTCTTTATTGACTAATCAGAGTATGCATATAAAAGAGAGAAATTAATAGGATATAAAGGGTAGTTTCCTGTGCTAAAATCCAGTGTGTGAATGTATTATCCACAATTCTCCTTCTATACTTTATATTCTGCAACTCTATAAAAGAAATCAAACTGCACCATTCATTTATATCTAAGTTATTTGTCATACTTTAAGATTATTCATTGGGGATGACAGATGCTGGAAAATCTAATAAATTTGAAATTATGTATACCGTATATTAAGCACTTTACACTTTTGCAACATTTGAAATTTAAATTAAAAAGTCTGAATTTAAGACTTCAGTTTACAATTTCAGTGATTGGGCACAATACTTCAGAGGTGCTAGGAGCTTGCCTAAACTTCAAGTTTCAATTTCAAGTTTCATTAAGCTTCACTTCGGCTAGTCAAGTCTCAGATTCTAGCTATCATTGGTGGTTTAAAAATATTCTGAAATTTCGTCTCATAACAGAAATAAGAAATAGCTGCCATGTTACAACGATCAAGTCATTTTTATTTGTCAAACAAAATTTTAATCCTCTGTGAAGTTGAGAATATGACCATCATAAGCTGTGCAGATGCTCCGAGCATGAGAGATCTCTTTAAATGATGCTTTCTGTTTTGTGTGTTTGCCTGTGTATGCATATTATACTACAGCTTTTCTCAGCCATGTGTCTTCCAGACTGCAAATTTGTTGAACAGAACTCATGCAAACTCCAGATTTCATGATCAAGTTGATTGTTACGCACAGGCAACAACTAATTGTGAATAGCCTCAAGCTGAACTTTATTGTTTGGACCCATGTTACAAGAATCTCATCAGACTGCTTCCCTTGTCCTGGGAACAACCAGATAAGACTTTATGGATTTGGGGTGAGGTCATGCTTATGCCACTTGTGACTACTCAGCAACTCCGAGGTGGGTCCTCGCTTGACCCCTTCCTTAAGCCTAGCCAGCATTTCCCCAAGATTCATCCAGTGCATCCTAGAGGTAGAGTGTTGGCTGAAGTTCTCTATGCTCTAAAGCTGGGAATCTTCTTGGAAGGAGTAGTCCTGCAATACTAATTTCTGCTATTAGTTACCACTGCCTTGCAGATAGTAACTCCTTGTCTTTTTTTTCCTCCAGATTTCCAGTGCGAGGAGAAGGCCTCTGTGCTTACATAGATGCAAATGGGGCCAGTAGTACCATATGCTCCATGGAGAAAAATTTTCTCTGCAGCCATCCAGAAAGCTATAGCAAAGCTGGATGAGACAACCTCATCAAAAGAACAGAGAATATTTGGCTTGACCAGAATTTATTGAAGAAGCATATCTGTCACTGCTTTTTTCCAGGGTGTTCCAATCTGTCCTATAACCCTTGCAGTTTTTTTCTTCAGTTAGTTACAGAATAGAGTTGGAAGGAACCTTGGAGGTCTTCTAGTCCAGCCCCCTGCTCAAGCAGGAGAACCTATACATTCCAGACAAGTGGCTGTCCAGTCTCTTCTTAAAAAGCTCCAGCAATGAAGCACCCAGAACTTCTGAAGGCAAAGTTGTTCCACTGGTTAATTTCTGTCACTGTTAGGAAGTTTCTCTTTAATTCTAGGTTGTTTCTCTCCTTGATTAGTTTCCATCCATTGGTTCTTGTCCTGCCTTCAGGTGCATTGGAGAAGAGGCTGACCCCCTATTTTTCTGGCAGCCTCTCAGATATTAAAACACTGCTATTATGTCACCTCTAGTCCTTCTTTTCACTAGACTAACCATATCCGGTTCCTGCAACCATTCTTCACATGTTTTAGTCTCCAGACCCTTAATCATCTTAGTTGCTGTTCTGGAAACTTTTTCCAAAGTTTCAGCGTCTTTTTTGTAATGTGGTGACCAAAACTGGATGCTGTATTTTAGATGTGGCCTTACTAAGGTTTTATAAAGTGATACTAATACTTCACATGATGTTTACTCTATGCCTCTGCTTATGGAACCAAGGATTGCATTAGGTTTTTTTGGCTGCTGCCGCACACTACTGACTCATGTTTAAGTGATCATCCTCTAGGACTCCAAGGTCTCTCTCACAATTACTGTTTTTGAGCCAGGTTTCGCCTAATCTGTACTTGTCCCTTTGGTTTTTCCTGCCCAGGTGTAAAACCTTGCTTTTCTCCACATTAAATTTCATGTTCTTTGATAGGGCTCATTGTTCAAGTCTGTCAAGATCTGTTTGAATGCTAAGCTTGTCTTCTGGGATGTTGGCTATTCCTGCCAGCTTAATGTCATCTGCAAGTTTGATGAGTTCCCTTTCTATTCCCTCATCTAAGTCATTTATGAAGATATTGAAGAGTATTGGGCCTAAGATGGAACCTTGTGGTACCCCACTGCTTACTTGCCTCCATCTAGATGTAGTACTACTAAGGTCTACTCCTTGAGTATGTTTTGTCAGCCATTACAAATCCATCCATCCCTGGTTGTGATGCTCTCTATCCCACATTTTTCTAGTTTACCAAGAAATAGATTGAGGTCTACTTTGTTGAGTGCCTTATTGAAATCTAGGTATACTATATCCACAGCATTTCACTGATCTGCTAATTTAGTCACTTTGTCAAAGAATGAAATAAGGTTGGTTTGTCATGATCTGTTTTTGACAAACCTGTGCTGGCTTCTGGTTATAACTTTATCTGCTTCTGGGTGTTTGCAGATCTGTTTTTTTATTATCTTTTCCATAATCTTCCCAGGTATTGATGTCAGGCTGATTGATCTGTAATTTCCTGGATATTTTTTTTCTCTTTTTTGAAGATGGGAATCACATCAACTTTTTTACAGTCCTCAGGTAGTTCACCAGTGCTCCAGGAACTTTGAAAGATATGGTATAATGGTTCTGAGATAACATCTGCCAGCTCCTCCAGGCTGTAGTTCATCAGGTCCTGCTGATTTGAACTCATCAAGATCAGACAGATGTTCTCTTACCATTTTCTTGCTTAGTTTAAATTTTTATTTCTGCCTTTTATGGTTATGTTTTTGGCAGGTTGAGCTATAATTTCATTTTGCATGAAGACTGATGCAAAGAATAAGTTAAGCAGCTGTGCTTTTTCTCTACTGCCCGTTACTTCCTTGCCATCTTCTCTCTTTAGTGGATGGTTTCCTTGACTTTTATCTTGTTTTTTATACATAGAAACTTTTTTTTATATAAATTTTTTTATTAATTTTTCAAATTAAACAACAAATAAAACAAGTATGATGCATTTACTTAAAAGAAAAAAAAAGATAATCCTACTCAATACATTTTTCACTAGCTCGTGGGTCGCATAACTAGAAACTTTTTAAATTATCTGTTAAGATATTTAAATTTAGTAGCTGGAACAGTATGATTGTGCAGTGAGTCAGAATACACAACTTTGGTTGATTGGTTGGAGAATGTTGGCTCCTGCCTGAGGCAATCTGTGTTGTGTGTGGGTGTGGAGGGGAGTTTCCCCTTTTCCCGCCTTTTTCTTCTGTGTGCCCTGTGTGCTCTGTGATTTACCTCATGATGTTCCTGTTGTGCTGATTTACCTGATGATGCTCCTGTGTGCCTATCTTATTTTCAGTAAATATATTTATTTATATAAATGTACAAGTTCGTGTCAGTGTCTATGACTTCATTTGGACACTGGCTGCACAATTCCCTGATAATATCTTTGACACTTGTTGCAAGTTTTAGTTCATTCTGAGCCATAGCTTTCATGACTTCATCTTTGCAGATTCAGGCTAGATGCTGGCATTCTGTCTTAGTTATGTGTTCCTCTTTCCATTTTTTGTACTTATCCTTTTGTCTTTCAGTTTATCAGAGGAATTTTTATGCAACCATGCTGGTTTCTTCTTGGATTTCTTGTTTTTCTTTTCAGTGGTATTGTGCTGGATTGGTCTTTTATGATCATATTTGTAGAGTTTCCCAAGCTTAGGCATTAAATTATTAGACAATAATTTAATAATTAGACAATAATAACAAGCATTAGACAATGCTTTGGATTTAATTTGGAAGGTAGAGAAGTGCTAAACTGGTACTTACCTCCACCCCATTTGTACCTTGCTCTCTTCCTTGTCATCTTTGTTAGTTTTAATATTAATACTTATGACACTTATTTAACAGTGTGTCAATGCTGCTAACATCGGATGTTCTTGCTTTGACAACATATGGAGATGCAGCCATTTTCCTTCTTATGTTTTACTCTTAGAATTAGAGTTAGAATTAGATGATACTGGGGGGGGGAGGAGGAATGTACATGGGAGTTTAGTTAGACATAACAATATTGTAACTAGGGTGAGAACCAAGGTTTTTTGAATAGAGATGATAAGAAATGGCAGGCTGAAGAACTGGAGGGAAAGCTGGCATTTCAAACTAATTGAAGAATGTGATTTATGATTGTTAATTAGAGGAGGGAATTGTGCTTTGATACTATGTGCTCAGGGGAGGGGAATTCAGATTTTGGCTTTATCTATGTCCTTGCCGATGTTATGCTACTCGAATAAAGATTCTTTAAGGTAAACAACGCCTCGAAGTTCTTTGAAGAGTTTCATCTGTCGGAACCATGACACAGTGATTTTACTGTAGGAGATGACCAGGCTGAGCCTGAGGGAGGGGTCAACCATATCATTAGTCATGAGTCCCTTTGCAGTTGCACAAGATCTAAGTTCAGCCCATCTTGAATTTCTTTCTATTCTTAACTCTCGTTCATTTCCCTTAATGGTCACTTGGCCAGATTCTTGTAGAGAACTTAAGCTTTCAATAAATTTTTATACTGCCTGAATCTCCTGATTTCCTGGGCACTTAACAATTACTTTTGTAAAAAAAAAAAAGTTAAAATACAAAAGTTAAAAAAAAGTTTTTACAAAATAAAAAACCCAGACATTAAAAAAGTGCATTAAAAAAAGACACAAAAACACATATACAAATATTATCCTCTATAAATATATTGCAACAATATTAATTTCCCACCTCTTGTGAAACAGGCCTCCAAATTTTTAAACTTATAACTCTATTAGTAAATTATTAACCTATCATCTATTCTATCTACTACATTAATGACAAAATAGTTAAAGGAGAGAACTACACACAAAAGCCCATAAAATAAAAACTTTAAAACTTTCTGTTACCTATTATTGTAGTGAACTTATATAAAGTTTACCATGGCTTATTTATCCCAAATCATCCTAATAGTTAACTCTGATTTATCTTGGATCAAGTATCCATGTTTGCTTCTTAATAACATATCTTATAAATCGTTGTCTGGTTAAATATAATAAATCCATTCTCCAAAATTGATCTATCTTTTATTTTCAGCATCCAGCCTGGGTGGATTCTATATATTTAATGTTACATTTGATACTTGGGTCATTTTTTTTCCTTTTTTTTGTACAGCAACCATTTTTCTTTTTTGTTGTTGTTAATGCTGGATGTATTTTTTTCTGGTTTGTTTTTTAGTTTTATATTCATCCCAGAGTCCGAGGATTTTATACTATTGCACACACACACACACACACACACACACACACACACACACACACACACACACACACGTGTATAGAATTTGACAAAGAAGATGACAAAGTGTGGATGGGGAAATAAAGCCTCTGACTCCAGGAGAAGAAACGTTAATGAAGCTGAGGTATCATCTTGTAAAACACAAGATGCCAATCTTCATTTTTATTTCTCTAACAGTTAGACTATGCTTTAATTTGGAACCCAGGTAAATGGGTCATCTTGACTATGAGGGGCCCTAGCCCTCATAAAGTAACTTCAATATATTTACAACAAGAAGAGAAGAATGAAATAGAAGAAGAAGATGGTGAAAAATCCATGAAATATTTACCCCCACTTTATAATCCTAATCCACCACAACCAACAAATGTACAAATACCTATTCCACCACCCCTACCAGCTCCTGTAACACAAGCCCAGGGAGCTGTGAGAGGTGGACCCTATAAAGTATTAGTAAAAGAATTGGAACAATTGAAGAAAGATATAAAGAATTTTCCCTTTAAGGATAAACCACTACAGGCTTTTCCTTTAAGAGAAGTACCCAATGGAGTAGATGGCCAAGGACAGGCCCGTATCAGTTTTGTACATGAGCCTTTAAAGGCATCTGAATTACGCGCCTTTAAGAAAGAAATGAAAAGCATGATAG